CCATTGTAGTTGTTTTGAGACTGTGTGATGCTATGTAGCTTACTCTGACCTTGAACTAACTATGTTAGTTACTTTTCTTTCACTACTGAGACAAGATACCAGACACCAAAAGCTGGAAGGGAAGGGGTTTATTTGGCTTACAGTTTGTAGAGGTTTCTGTCCACAATCAGCTGGCTCCAAGGCAGGGATGGCAAACAGGCATTGCAGAGAAGAAACAACATGGCTCTCACAAATCAGCAATGGCAACAAGTGAGTTAACAGTGTCTCTCTTTCCCTTTTATCTTATTCAGACTACTTAGGGCAGGTAGCACTCACACCCACCCTTAATTCTAGTGTCCTTGAGCCTAGCACTGTATCATGAATCAATTCCAGCTTCACAAACTCTAGATCCTATGACCACATGAGGCTTTCGGGGGACATCTAGCCCCAAACAAAAACACTTACTATTGATTCTCCTGCCTCAAGCCGCCTGAATACTGGGATAAAATTGTTTACCATGTGCAGCCTGTTTGTTTAACCTTTCTAACTTTTAAAAATGTTTCATTATTTAGGAAATCAGCTAATTGCATCCTTAACACTTATTTGTTAGGTTCCAATTTACAATCCCTGGAGCTGGAGAGTGAGGGCTGACAAATAATCCAGGACATTCTTACCAGTTGTCACACTAGAAAATGCACAGCTTATTTGCAACTGAGATCTCTCCCCAGTAGCCTTTCTGGTCAGTTACCATGGAGTGCAAGTGAATTTGATAAAAGATGACAAAAAGAGAAGAGAACAAACTAAAGGGGGACATTAAAATACATCTTATCTCTGTAGACTTTAAACATTTTTCTTTTATGGAATAATGAAATTATATTTTAAAAATTAAGGGAAGAATTTTAAATATTTCTCATTTACTATTGTTAGTTTTTCCATCTCTAATGCTAAAGACAGAAGTAACACCAATAGAATTTCTAAGGTCCCAAAGACAGTCTTATTTTTTAATAAATGACTCAATTTTTTAAATTGTTGGGAACATACATGTGTATTTTAGTAACACCCGATGTATTAAAAAGAGAAACAAAATCAGAAGTGTAATATTCTATTCAGATTATTCACAAGTGGCTCATCTTAAAAGTAAAATCAACATTAATGACATTAAGATGTCAACAGTGCATCATTAGGAAAATGATTAGTTTAGCCAAAGAAGTAAACACAGGTTTTATATGAAGGTTTATATTTTAAAAACTATTAGACTTACTGACTTTGGATTTTGTAATGATTTATATTTAATCTTTTCCTCTAGAACTACAATAATGGTGTGTAAAAACAAAATAATCTGTGTTTGGAAGGCATGTCTACACATGGGAAAGCCAATCTCTAAGCCCTTAGAGGTTTTTTTTTCTAATTGTGAAGATTTATGGGACAATTCTAAAAATATAGTTATTGAATACCAGCACCATCTACTCTGCAGAAAAATTTAAAGAGCTTCAAGAGATCATCTCCACTTGCAGTCTTGATTAAATTAAATATATAAGTGGGTTGACTGAATTGAATCTAGTAATTGTGACTTTGTCTCTATTTCACTTTCTGAGAAAGATCATATTCTATACTTTCAAAGGGAGAAGAACTTGCTACGTATATATTTCATCTTCATTTGAATGGGCTCTCAAGTTTACGTTTTTATTCTATTAATGATTTTTCAGTGGCAGGCGAAAATTGAATGAAATAATTTTGTCTGTAATTTATTTAGTAAGCAGCAAACATCACTTGAGTGAATAAATAGAGGGTGAGCTGATAAGCTTGTTTTATTCATACATCTTCTTGGAGTCTTCTTGGGAAAGAGAAGAATATCATTACAGTGAGGGGGAACAGATTCTGCACATTACTAAGAAATGCACGTTGTCACAGAACCTCCAGAAAAGTGACTAAGGCTGGGTAAAGGAAATTAGGAAACATTCAGAATTTAAAGAAGAGGGACCTGATCTCATATTCATTTTTGTCTGCAATGGGGGATCTGGTTTGTTGGATGGGAAAACAGTTAAGGAGAAGGTTCAGTTATGAAGTTATTGTCCAAAACTGGGACATCACTCATGCAGAAGCAACTAGAGAAAGAGTGATGGGCACATTTGAAAAGTATTTAGAAGTAAGCAGTGAGGTGTTAGCAGTGAAGTCTTATGAGTGAGTATTTAGGAATGAGGGTCCTCACACAGTGAGGAAAGTTTCAACTATGTTCAATGTAGTTTAACACGCAATATCTAAATCCAGTTCTTTTATTCCAGGATACATGAAAGAATCCTCTGGAAAGCCCTCAGCATTCACACATGTGGGATTACTGAAGCAGAATCTTTAGAGCACTGAACTCAATCACCTCTATACCTGTTTTTTACCCTGAGATGATTAACAGACAGTCTCTCTGTTACATTCATTTTCTCCATTATGATCACTTTTTAAAATACACTGAATTGAAAGTCCACATCATAACTTAGAATAAGAAACATGATTCACAGAACTGGGTTAGTTTAGTATTATTTGTGTTGCCATGATGATGACACACACTGGAAGAATTACTAATTGGTGAACATTTTTTATTAACCACTAAGTAGGTTAAGTAAAGAATAATGCAATGCAGTTAATGACAAAATAACTAAAAGGAAGAAAATCTTAAATGAACTGATGAGATTTAATATTCTGTTATCATCTAAGGCAGTTTGCCAAAAAAAACTGCAAAAGTTTTAAACGTGATGCTTTAAAAAATGTTAGCTAAAAGTAAAATTTTAAGGTAGCTTTAAAGTATTATAAGTAGAATTTATTATCAATGCTTATAGTCATGAAAATACAATGGGCAGTATGAAATATATATTTAAAAACTCAGGTCCTGTGGCCAATGCACTATTGCCAAGTGGATTACTCTCACCGTGCCTGGCAGTGAGGATGGAGGGTTAACTTGATTGGCTTTGCAATCTGCCCGAGGATAAGTTGTATTATGTTAGGTGGAACTATGAACTTGCTATTGTCTTTATTGGTAGGTTAAGTATGGTTTAAGGAGATATGCTTGGGTGTGAGGCTGAAAAGTCTGAGCTGTGGAGTTTATCAACTTGATTTGCACTGTTGCACAGACATGTAATTATTGGTCACTACACATCACCTTTAAAAATCAATTCTCTTTAGCTTCTTTAATGAAGAAAAACAGAAGTATAAACACAAACTTAATTAATTCTGAGTTCTTCCTTTTTAGTGAATACCACTAAGTATTTTTAAATTATAACATTAAGAACCTGAAGAAAGCATCTTGACACCTCCCTGTCATTTCTTCCTACTTCCTTTTTACTTGTATCTTTTAAAAATTAAAATCTAGACCAAAGAGAGGTATAAAGCTGGATAGTTGAATGTTTACAGATTATGAGATAAATATCTTTTAATATACAGATATTATTACATTTGACTTGTTCAAAGAGGTTCATACTGCAAGTTAAGTCAAAGGTAGGGGAGATTCTAATTTATCTATTCATATATGGTAAAATATTTATCTTGTTTGAATAGAAACCATATAGCCACACATATAGTATTCTATTGGTAAATATTTACCAGGAGGAATGGCAAAAAATAGCTCTCATTTGCAGAGTTTGCCAATTCCTGTGGCACTCTCATATCACTGACTCTGAACTATAAAAATGTCATAAATGAATCTACAATTGAAGATGTAAAGGAGATGTTACTAGTACCTCCACCAAAGAAATGCAGTGTGTCCAATTCACAAATGCAGATAATAGTCAAATAAAGAGGAATTGACTTTTGAGTGCTGTTATTCTTCGAAAGTATTTTTTCAGTTATGTGTATGTAACTTATATTTATGCCTTTTCTTAACTGCCAGGTTACAGAATTACTGAAGCTCTAATAGTAAACAGGTACAAGCCTACTTTCATTTCTGTATACGACTTCACAGATTCCATATAAAGATCACAAATGACCAAGCAAGTGATCTAAACAAGTATGAGATATAACAAAGATCTTTTCTAATGTTTGTTTATAAAAGTGAGTGAAAGCATAAAACTGTAACCCTCCAATAGTCTATGAAAAAAATTTAACTTAAATTGACACTTCCAGATTCAATTCTCATCTCCAGCAGCAGCCACTAATAACGTCATTGTTATTAAAGTGTTTAAGAAAATTAGCAATCATTATTATAATGTAGTCATGTTACTTCTTATTCCAAGTACTATATATTTTTGTTTTCACACTATACTTATCTCCCATTAATAACTAGAAATCTATTAAAAGTTAATGGGATATAACAAAAGTTATTTTGATTTGAAATCACAAATTTCAGGCTGTTTTTCTGAATTCACACTTACTGGAGAAAATTCTTTAAAAATGTATGGCTCTCGCTTTATATATCAAGTAATAGAAGAAATTACTAAAGTATATAATTGCAATTTTCAAAATCATATCATAGTGTACGTGAATCTTAAAAACATCTGATTCCTGGGGGAAAATGATAATGTGAAAGAATCCCTCCACACATTCTCCACTTGCTCACCATTTGAATGTAAGCTATAAGAGGGTAAACACATTCACTGGACAAAATTAGTCACTACGTCAGCTTGAATTTTCCTGTATTGGTTGTCATTGGAACAAAAACTACTAATTAACTATAGTACAGTGTCATATAAATAAAGCTGAAATATCATCCAAGTGCAGTACCTCGATCACTCAGTAGCTACATAACAACATGTACACTTACCATAATAGCTGATGCTTTCTCCTTAACTTATAAAAAAGAGGAGGCTTGCCATCAACTTATTTTTTCATAGAAGCTTAGCATTTTAGACTTGAAATTCTGAGTACCTATTTATAACCAAAACTCCAAAGTCTTCATCTCATAAAGAGGAAAGTTAAGCACAAAAGACGTGACTTTTGCCCAATGCCATGCAGACCCTATTAATTATAGGGTCTGACCAGGTCTGAAGAATTCATTATCTACCAGCACTGGGAGGAATTAATCTGAGAATAAGCAGTACCTCCTGGAGAACTCTCTTCATCTTCAGTAACAAAGTCTTCACTGCTGTGCAATCTTGTAACATTAGTCTGAATGGCAGTGGATCTATGCCTCCATGCTCCTCCACACTCTGCAAGGGCCAGTCTGCAGATGGACTGCTGGGCACGTGGCTGACATAGGAACACCTGGAGTCCTGGTCAACATCTCTCGTTAATTTCAAAGAAAGATTCCTAATAAGGGAAAATAACAGAAATTAAAACGCAGCATGCTTTGACTATTTTTCCTAAACTGTTGATCAATATCATTAGTATGCTATAAAAAATTTTTGGTGAACCTCATCATTTTCTCATATTCTCCTCTGAAAATACTCAGAAATTCTGAAATGAGTTAATTGTATATTTAATGATAAGATTCAATTGCAATTACTGTCTTAGAATATGATTTTTCTCTAATTTGCATTTCATGTATTCATGATACTTAATTCATTTTAAAATGTTAAGACTCAACAAAAATCACTGGAAGACAAATTTTATAACTAGTATTTCTCATAGCATGCTTAAAATTAACTGGAATCAAAAGATTAAGCAGCCAAAATTAACAGAAAATTGATTTGATAATTATTATTTTAAATAATTAAAGCAATCAATAACTCAGTGATTAAGGAAGGCACTTTACAATGAATTTTATATTAAAAATTTTTAAAGGGGGATACAAGTGGGAGATGCATAACTCCATGATATTATTAGCATATAGAGAGAATCAAAATATGCCATCCTCCCTCGCAAAATGCCACTTTAGTATAAGGATCATTTTGAGCTGAAAGCAACTGAGAAAAAGCAGATGTAAGAAAAAGTCTCTATCCTTCTCCTATACACCTAAAAGCAGATATAGATTTACAAAGGTGCCATCCTCCTTTTCTACCAGAACTTAATTGCTAGAGAGAACTCAAGATGTTCGTCAGGCCAGAGAAGGCACCAGAAATATCTATGTAACAACTTACTGACTAGTGCTTGTCTTCAGTAAGTTTCTTTGTGCAGTATCTTTCTTCAGTTTGCTGCCCTAGGCACTAAAAGTCCTTTTCTTGTTACTTCGGTAAAATATTGCTGTTCTTTTTTGTTAAAATGCTATATAGCTCCAATCCTAACCACTCATTTGAGTTACTCATCTGAGTGTTGCTGCTTCTATGCACGATGCATGTGTTAATGAACATGATTGCATTTCTCTTGTTAATATGTCTTTTGTCAGTCCAACTTACAGGACCACGGCTGCAAAGCCTAGGAGGGCAGAAGGAAAAGAATCAAACACAGAATGCTCACTCTCAAAAAAATCTGCCTCTTAGAGACAGACAAAAAACACATTAATAAGAGTGGGTGTCAGTCTCCAGGCAAGTCTAACATTTAAGTCCTTACAAGGCTGCCTAAGGTACTATAAGTATTATATAAATATTTGTTATTATTATTTACATAAATTATATGGTTAGTGGAGGGCAGGGTGTTGCACTGTCTAAGCACATAGGTTAGTTCATCTCAAGTTCACTTTTTACCTGCTTTTTAACTCAGACAAAATTTACTCGTCTGCACTTGAGTATCACCACTTGTACAATGAAGACTCTCATTACACCTGCTGGCTGAACTTCTTCAAAGTGTGCATAAGTTAACACACATGACAATGGCCCTCAAAAAAACTGTAAGACTATTTATACGCTTTAAAAACAGATATAAAATGCAGGTAGTAGTAACTCTTACCACTTCAAAGGAGTGTTTTCTACAGTAATTATACAAAAGTTTATTCCAATTGAATTACTCAATTAATAATTAGATTTGAATAATATTGAGTATTATATTATTTGTGTCTCTGTTTGACCTTAGTACCAAGTGCTAGGATACTTCTTTGTTTTTTTCTCAATTTAGATTGCTTAGAGATTTTGTTATATAATTAAGAAAATAATAGTATATAGATAGACAGATAGATAAAAACCTAAAATTTTCTGTCCTTTTGAAATAGTCAAGATATGCCATCAACATAAATGCATTTCAAAAATGAAATCAGCCATTTGTTTTATACTTCAATAGTTTATATTTATTTTTAATTCCAAAAATGAAAATGGTAGAATTTTCTCTCATAATTATTAAACATATGCACACTGTGTCCAGAAGAGCAAGAGTGGCTCAATTTGCAAAAATCAGCAGGATTCTGTCACTGATTTGAAAAAGTTCGATATGATTTTAAATGTTTTAGAGTAGCCAGGCATGATCCCACCACTTGAGAGGCAGAGGCCCTAGTATGGTAGTGAGTTTGAGGCCAGCCTGGGGTACATAGTGAGTTCAAACCCAGCCTAAACTAAAAAGTGAGACCCTGTCTCAAAAAATCAATCAATAAAAAAATTAAATAAATGTCTTAGAGTTGATGCTAAAAATAATGTTTCACATTTGAAAAACTTATCTTGAAATATTTTACTTCTACATGAAAAAAGAATAGATCTACAACAAGCTATATAGCAGTAATCAAAACCAATCCTAATTTTGTCAAGGCAGTTGGTGAAACAACCATGAAATAGGGCTACAATTTGAGGGGATTGGTTAGCACAGCCATCCTGGTTTATGTTTATGCCTAATGTCTTCCTCACTGGTTAATGCCTCATGTTCAGTATTTTAAATATTACTGTTTTTAACAGTAGAGTATTATTGTGCCCAAAATACCCATGTGTTTATGGGCAAATTCAAGTTAAAAAAAAACAAACTCTGCTTGACAAGAAAAGGAAAAAAAATCACTAATATGAAGTCATGGTTTTCTCTAGAACAAACAACACATACTAAGTCTGCTGAGGGCAGAACAAGGTGCAGGTGTTGTCCTGTTCCTGCAGTGGAGGACTCACTATATAATATAATACATGAACTTCAGGATATACAACTCACTGTCAGCCAACTCTGAATTATTATAGTTTCAGGAAACTGAGCAAATGCACTTTCTATCAAAAAAGATAGGACCTTAATATAGAAAAAAAAAAAAGGAATGATACTAAAGCTGGATAGAGTGGTTCATTAATCACCATAACTACTTCAAACAAAAAACAAAGACAAGGTAATCTCTACTGAGCACATTTATGTACAGTTCACTCTTTCTGTATCAAGTCTATGAATCGTTGCTATAATTCCTCAATTATATTCTCACATCTCTTGATCCTGATGAATGGTGGGTGACCAAGCTCTGATAATTTAAAATTTAGTAACATTTAGATAAAGCTGAATTGAGACTTACGAAACTTTCCTCAGTCCACAAGTACCAAAATTATAAAAAGTTCTGAAGAATAATAGCAAAGCTCAAATAATATATTACACCTCTTCTTGAAAGATTAGAGAATTTGGGAGTTTCAACTGATATTTAAAATATTTAAGTTAAGCTACTATGGTAAATTGACTTTGTACTTTTGTTACTGGGATCTTTTGTGCAACAGAACTTCTCTACCAAGCTAGTTCAAATGTTATAATGCAATTCTATTTTCAGTATTGCAGAAAACTTTAATGTGAAAATATTTACCTTAACATTAACTGTGGAGTGATTAAAGATCTTTTTTCCATATAGGAAAAAAATAAAGTGTATTTTTATAATTTTTCTCATTTGGTTATAACTAGCAATATCATTTTGTAACTGACAATGTTTCTTTCGGCCCACAAAAATTCTTCAAATCATTTGAAAACTTCCCAATATAAATGGCCCAAATAACTAAGAAAATATAAGATCATGTCAGTTGCACAATGTTGATCCTCTTGACTGCCATATGAACCCTTCTTTATTTAGCTCACTGACACTTTGCATTATAGGAACTGTTTGTTGCAAAAAGGCACCTCAGTGACTTACATTTTATAATGTGGCTGTGATTTCTGAACCAACTTTTCAAGAACAGAAAAGTACCAGTAACTTCTATTTGCCCCAATATAATAAATGGGCACATGCATATAATTGCCTTCCAAAACATAATTAAGCAGATTTGAAGAAAATAATAGTACATAAAACCCTTAATTTGGGAAACTTACTTGTATTATCTTAAATAACTGCAATATAGGCACAATGGTACAAATGCGTATTAATGAACTAACATAACAGAACCTAACAAAAACTTTCTGGTAGGTAACTACCTACACAAACCTACTGATGCTGAATAAGCTGTATTTCCTTTCAAAATATGGTTTATCTGAAATAGTTACTAAAAAGACTGTAAATCTGACATACTATAACTTGGCATTTAGAGACAGAACCAGCATCTCCCTCTGTAGTGAAAGGGTTGTTAAAATAACCTAACATTTTACATTTAGATAAAAAGTTCACATGTAACAAGTTACCACCACCTGAGATGTGAGAAAAAGTAAGGTAGAATCCAAATATCTTAACAGAGGCAGCGAGGTCTTTCATGATACACCGTTTGCCTCATCATATCTTATCTCCTAACATCTACCTCCTTGCTCTCAGAATTTCAAACACATTGTCCTTTATTCAGGGTTTATCCTACAGAAGCCTGTTCACATATGTTCTTCTTTCTATATTAAAAAGTGTCCCATACCCACTTTTAGGTTTCTCCTTATAGTATATCATATTCCTAGACTGAGATCTTTGCATCCATCAAAAAATACACAGGTTTCACTCTGTTGGCAATTTCTTTGGCTGTGTAAAAGCTCTTAAATATGATGAGATCTCATGTGTTGTTTTATTTCCTGTCTGATTAGAGTTTTGTTCACCAAGTATTTGCCTACACCTATATCTTCAAGAGTTCTACCTATTCTATCTTCCAATAGATTTAGTGTTTCCATTTTAATATATAGGTCTTTGATCCATTTCAATTTTAGGTTAGTGCATGGTGAGAGATATGAGTCTAGTTTTAACTTTCAGCATGTAGAAAGCCAGTTTTTCCAGCACCATTTATTAAAGAGGCTTTCTTTCTTCCAGTAAAAGTATTTGGCCCCTTTGTCAAAGACAAGGTGGCTGAGTGTGTTTGGAATTGTTTCTCTATCTTATAATCTGTTCCACTGATCCTTAGATTTGTTTGTTTGTTTGCTTTCGCCAATACAATGCTGGTTTTATCATGGTAGCTTTATAGTATAATTTCATATGAAAGATTGTGATGCTGCCTGCCTGACCTTTGTTGGCCCAAATAGCTTTTACCATTCTAGGTCTCTTCTGGCACCAAATAAATTTTAGGACTATTTTCTCTAATTCTGTAAGGTATATTGTTGGT